AGTGCAGAGTGATACATACAGAGTGCAGAGTTTGGGGGTGTGCTACATACAGAGTGCAGAGTTCAGGGGTGTGCTACATACAGAGTGCAGAGTGCTACATACAGAGTGTAGAGTTCAGGGGTGTGTGCTACATACAGAGAGTAGAGTTCAGGGGTGTGCTACATACAGAGAGTAGAGTTCAGGGGTGTGCTACATACAGAGTGCAGAGATCAAGGGTGTGCTGCATACAGAATGTAGAGTTCAGGGGTGTGCTACATACAGAGTGGCAGAGTTCAGAGTTCAGGGGGTGTGCTACATACAGAGTGTAGCGTTCAGGGGTGTGCTACATACAGAGTGTAGCGTTCAGGGGTGTGCTGCATACAGAGTGCAGAGTTCAGAGATGCGCTACACACAGAGTACAGAGTTCAGCCTTTTTCCACAGCTGTTTACCTCTGTATCACCCATCCACATCTCACTTTCATGCCTCTTCAGTTCTGACCTCTGCATGCAACCCCCCCCCCCCCTCCATTACCCCCCTCTCCCCCCCTCTTTAAAACCTTCACCATCTTTCACATGTCTTTCTTTTATTGCTGGATTAAGCTGAAGCACTCAGCCCTAGTACCTCCCTGTAGGTGGTTCTGCCTTTCTCACTTTCAGGGAGATCATCCAGTGGGGGTGTCAGCATCCGCACCACACCCCGGGCACCAGCATCTCCCTTGTCCCCATCCTGCACTCAGTGGGAGCCACTCAGATCCGATTGGGAGACAAGCTATCACCTGTATACATAGAAGCCGGATATCTGTGTGTTTCAAGTGATAGTGTTGTGCAGGGAGCAGAGGTCCTGAGCCAGAGGTGGTGGAGCTGAGTTCCACAAAGTTCCAGCTGAATAAAAGCCCCGCATCTTCTACAAATCACACTATCACACAGGCACAGGGAGGCAAATAGTTTGCTGTAATCAGAGGCAGATAAATGCGGCTGTGTACGGCTGTGTACTAATTGGCTGATTAGCTGGGGCAAGTATGTGTGCAGCCAGACCTCCACAGAAACTCTCTCTGAATGCACATGGTCTGTGTCCCAGGTCAGTCAGAGGCTCTGTTCACTTACTTAAGCACTTACATGTGAACAGCAGTACAGGTGATTGATTTGTACAGAGTAGAGATCTGACAGCTGCTGTTAAAAGAGTATGACTTTAAAAAAAAAAAAAATTACACTCACTTAGGTGGATGCTGCATCTGTCCACCGCCGCTTCTAAGATTGAGAACTGAATGATCAAACACCGCTGCTCACTCAATTCTCAGCCTTCACTTGAGCACCAGGCTGTGGAGAGGGCGTGTGAGCGGCTGGCCCCAGCCTCTCTTCAGGTTGCAGACTCCTGTTTGAGGCATCTGGATGGATCCTAACTTTAAAGTTGGGATTGTTCCCCAGCCTTAACCAGTTGAGTGACGCCAGCCAACATCGGCTTTAGCCCGCCGTCAGATGAAAAGTGGTCACAGGAACGCAGAATGAACTGCACTCCTGTGATCCACAGGAGAAGTGCAGACAAACAGAGCTTTGGCTCTACTTCTCCTGTAGCCTCCCTGGCGGTATTCCTGAGTGTAGCTTGGGGTAAAGTTTCATTACCACAAGCGGTATCCCCGAGCTACACTCGTGCTTACCATGCAGCGCTGCTCCGCGATCCCTCGATCACTTACCTTGTCCTGCGCTCCCGCGATGTCCCTCCTGCAGTGTCCACTGTAATGTCCTCCGGTGGATGCCGGCATCTGTCTTCTGGGTTCCGTTCCCTGCGACGTCGGGACGTACGGGGAACGGAATGGCGGGAAATTTGAAAATGACAAAAAGTGACATTCACTAAACTCACTAACATCACATAGTAAAACATTACTGTGTCCAACCATTTCACATACATTTTGTCCCTAGTGCTTTGTCCTGTGGCCTGCCTGCATTTTTACTGTCCTGCCTGGAAACTGAGAAACGTCCATGGCGTCCAAAAAGCGTCCCTTTAGGTAAAAATCGGTTTTAGACCAGCTAGAGAACAGCGATAGTAAATCAGAACCACTTGCAGAATTGAGTGATAATGATTCGTGGGGAAATTCGTCATCAGACACTGAAAACAATTTTGCGACTTTGCTCAGTGATGGGTGAACTTGGCGCTATATTTCAAATTTCAGTGTTTTTGGTTTGATTATATTATTGAATTAAATTTATTATTATTATATTATTATTTTTTTTATGAATATTTATTAAATTATGATTTCGTGTTTCAAATTTTAACATACCCGGGATGTTTACTAGACCCTTGTTTGGACAGATTTCAGTGAGTTATTCCTAAAAATGACAGGCCTACAATAAAAAAAAATACATATTTCCATGCAAAAAAATGTACCGCTTTGAGCACAGAAATATGGACATAATCAAACCACTAGGGAGGTTAAGAGCTGTTGCTGGCCACATACAGTGTGTACAGGCAGCTTCACAACCACCACCAATAATCTGATTCTTGCCAGTGATTGACCCTGGATGTAGCTTTAGGCAGACCATATATGATTCTTTTTTTTTTCCGTTCAACCAGTAGGTTGAACAAAAAAAGAAATGAATTTATTTCCCCATCCATACATTCAGTGAGGATGGGGGAATACCTCCCGCTGTGCTTTTGTATTCTACCATGAGGAGCCTTCCCTGTCAGCAGAATACAATGATCAATAATCAGTTTCCAGCTATAGCCAGTGACACTGACCTGGGAAAAACAAGGCAGGCTGGTTGTATACAAGTCAATCAATAGATCTACTTGTTTACAACCGGTAAGCCCATACCTGGATCAAAATGCAGCCAATCCCTGCTAAATTAGCCAAATTTCGATTCACCTATGGGCAGTTTTAGAGTACCTTAACACAGTGGTGAGAATTTCTCCATCCAACTTGATTTTGTCTTGATGTATGTCTAGCCTTTCACTTGGACTCCACTTATGTTGTGTTCTATTTGTCTGATTAAAGTGTTTTTTTTAAATTTCAACAACAGTTGTCCATTGCTGTGTAGTTTACAACTGTTTTAATAAGGTTCATCTTTACTGTAGACTCAGACAAAGTGTTAGTTCTCAATCTTTATCCTGCTTAGGCTTGTGCATCTGTGAGGAGGCATTAGTGTTGCATGGTGAATGGGTCACATTTGATAGGTGCTACTGTCTGCCAAGTTCATTAGTCTGTAGAACTTTTGCCCCCATCTTCTGCCTTTTCAGCTAAAGTGGAAGCAGTTGGCAAGCGTGAGCAGAACCGCCTCAGAAAAAAATTATCTACAGCCTGCCAGTAGGTTTTACCCCATTTTTTGCTATTCAGCACTGTGCTACTTTAACTGGCAATTGCTCAGTCATGCAACACTATACGCAAATTACATTTTTATAATTTTGTTTCACACAAATAGAGCTTTCTTTTGGTGGAATTTAATTACCACTGTTTTTTTGCTATATAAACAAAAGAGTGTCATACATTTTGAAAAAAATTGTTATAAAATTTTAAAAATGAATAATCTTTCTTCACAAATTTAGGCCAAGATGTATTCTGTTACATGTCTTTGGTAACAATAACCCAAATCAGTATATATTATTTAGTCTGTGTGAAAGTTACAAAGTCTACAGACTATGGTATATACAGTATATCTGAAAATTGATCAATTCTGATGTTCTGATGACCTAATTCCTTGAGGTCTTAAAATGCCAGAACAGTATGTATATCCTCAAATGACCCCTTTTTGGAAAACAGACAGTTCAAGGTATTTAGTAAGAGGCATAACACGGTTTTTGAAGTTGTAAATTTTTTTTGGACACAATTTTTGGGAAAATGAAGAAATTAAATAAAGTTAGTTTATTTTCACAATTTGTTTTACATACTGTAACCAGTGCAGTGTCATCATTTGGCTGGTGTGGTGGTCATCAGGAAAATTGACCGGTGACAGTTGCAAAAAAAACATGTTTTTTTAATTGCATATTTTAAATATTTATTTTCTTTTTTTAAACATTTTTTCTTTTTTTCAATTTTGTTTTTACATACTTTCATCAAAGTAGTTTAGTGTAACCATTGTGACACTGTATTACTCTGTGGGGGGGGGGGGGGGGGGGTGATCAGGGTTTTTTTTTAAACTGTTATTGCTTAAAACAGTGAAGTTCACTGTTATAAGCCATAGGTTTAGCTTAGTTACTGTTGACAGGCTATGATTGGCTACAGCTAACCACACGGTACAGGTAGCCAGGTACCACTTGGGCCAATTACAGCATCACAACAGTAACCAAGCTGTCATGAACAACAGAAACCCATTCATGACAGGTCGCTTACATAAATATCATGTGATCACCGCTATGGTTGGTCATTCTGAGTGCTGTAATCTATTGCATCCACAGGACATAGTGATTACAGGATCGTGCCGCTGAGCATGTTCTGGGCAACATCTAGTATGTTGCTCAACCTGGCTTTGATGCCCACTCACAGTAAATGGACTGTGGGTGGTAAGTGGTGGTGGCAAGTGGTTGCAAAAATACATGCCATTCTATGAATGTTGGAAGAATCAAGCAAGTGACCCCCTGTTGGATCTGCAGGCTGAACCCTTGTAAGTAACCATGCAATAAAAACCATACCTAGAGTTTAGCTTTAACAGCATTATATTATCCAATGACCTGCAAAATCCAAAGATGAAAAAAGTGGGTACTTGGAATAGACTTACTCTCATTATGGGGTACTTGGAAAGGGAGCTTTTCTCAAAGTAGATGTCAAACACAAAGTCAGATACTTTTACAATAAACTGTATAGCTCTATCAAATCTAAGCCTGAAAATGATTGAATCCTAGATTAGGCTGACTTCCTGTACAAACGTTGTTAGAAACATGATAAGAGAATAACTGAATTTATTCTGGTGATAATCACATGCACCCTAAAGATAAGAGATAAATTTATATTTATCTCTTATCTTTTGGGTGCATGTGATCATCACCAGAATAAATTCATTCAAATTCATATTTGAAAATGACCATAATGAGATTTTTGTGTCTGAACAATATGAAGCTGTGGCTGCTTTTGCCTTGTGTTGTGGCAAGTGTCAGCATTTCCAAAAGTCGTCGGTTTGACAAGTAAGTAACAATATCTGTCTTTCTACCTATCCATATATCAATCTATCCATCTACTATAGATTTATATATTTAGATTCATTATCAAAATTCTGGCTGCAGCATATTTTTTTCACTTTCACAGAGAAAAAGTATTCCATGTCAAGCCAGATGATGAAAAGGAAGTGAATTTCATTAAACATTTGGATGAAACAATGAAGGTAAGACACAATTTCACTTTCCTGATACAATTATATACTCATGTTGAGCTGAAAATTTCAACCTTTATCATACTGGTTACTGGCAATATATTACAATTTACACTAGATATGTAGTATGGTTTTTGCATGAAACATGGTTCAATTCACTAAACTGTATGAGTCATGATAAATGTGGTTATTCTTTTCTCTTATGATAATTGTTAGCATGAAATATTTGATTCCCTTACCAAAATATAGTTGTTCAATCAACATGTTTTTCGCATCCATTATTGAATACACGCCTTCATTTCTCATTAATAACTTGTGTGAATATTCACTCCAATTATCAAGTCATTTGCAGATGAAAGATGTAAAAAAAAAAAGTTTGCTTTTCACACAATTTGATCATTTAAGTGAATACTCATACAACTTATTATGTAAAGGTTCTCAACTATTTTTGAAAATCAGTCTCAGTATGTCTTTACTGCAATAGTAGGATTCAGCTACAAAAAGGCAAATGTTCATTAAATATGCCTGCTGGGAACTGTACATTTAAAATGTGCAGACAAACTAAATTAAATTTTAAACTGAACAAGTAAAAAGTAAAAATCAAGGCTATTAAACACATCTTCAGAGACTATTTAATAAGGCTGAAAGGAAAATGCCAATATAAAAATATTTATATGATTTAAAGTGTTACTAAACCCAGGACCCTGCATTCAATATATCTGGTCTCTCACAGTGCACAGAACATGGAAATGCAATGATTTTAGTAAATATAAACTGCTAAATAGATTTTCTCATCAGCAGTATATAGCAGTCTTAAGGTTTCTATCTCTGTCTTGCTGAGCACTGGTTAAAGCTTGTAGGAGGAGTTTTCATTCTCTTCTCACTGCCCTATGAGTCTGCATAACCCCTGACCCTCTGTCTGGACAATGCTGATTGGTCCTGTGCTAATCACATGCACCCTCCCAAGAAAAAGCTCTCTAGCAATACACACTAAACTGAGCATGTGCAGCTTGCCCCCAAGGCTCTGTTCTATCATGAGATGACATGGGAACCATGGAAGAAGGGGAGTATCAGAGAAGACAGGATCAAACATCCTTTTTACACAATGCAGAGGATTAACCCCTTAAGTTCCACAGTGAGTATAACAAGCATGTTTCACTGCATAAGCAGACTGATTTTCCTTTTGTGGGTTTAGTAACACTTTAAAGTTAAACTCCAGGCAGATATAAATGACACAAAATGATGAAGCTTTTTTCATTAACTTGTTTTTTATAGAGTAAGAAAAGGGTTAAAAAGCCCTGCCGCTTATTTTTTTTCTGCTCTCAGACCATTTTAAGATTTCTTCTTACCTCGTGTTCTTGGGAGGACTCACTTTATTTTTGGTACAAAAGTCAACATTATCAATAGAGGGGTAAATGTCTCCATTGAAGATACAGGCATCAACTACTATTTGACAGATGGTCTACCCCTTCTCCACTCTATCCAGAATTAAATAAAGATTTTTGCCTTTAATACATCATTAAATGTACTTATTTACATTCAACCAACATACTGTAAGTACCTGAAGTTGACTTATTAAAGTTTTGCAGCTCCAATAGCAGAGCTCAGAGAGGGTGAGGAAGAAGCAGCACAGGGAGATAAGCAGTTGTACTGCACGGGATGAAAAATGCTGGTAGAAGGAGAGGGCATAGCGATGAGTCCATTAACTTGCAGCTTCATTTTTCAACATCCAGTCGCAGACTGTGGGGCGAAAAGGACCTGTAATTTTAACTTTACTGCAACAGTGAAAAAATCAGATTGTTTGCCTGACAGACAAGACTGTGCTGTGTACCAGAGATGTGTAAATCTCAGAACTGGATGGACAGAAATACACATTCTTTGGCAAGTAAAACTGTGCCTATATATGATTTTAATATATTTTATTTAGATGTTTGCTTTATGTTCTGCTTGAAAATGAAAAATACGGTTTATGTTACACTCTACTTCTTGCATTTTATTTAAATTATACAGTATGTTCTTTGAATTAATAGCTCAGTATTAATTATTATTAGTATTATACAGGCCTTATATAGCGCCGACAGTTTGCTCAGTGCTTTACATTATGGAGGGAGACAATACAGTAACATTACAAGAGGGATTAGAGGGCCCTGCTCCTTGGAGCTTACAATCTAGGAGGGAGGGGATAGTGGTACAAGAGGTAATTAGCTGTGGGGGATGGAGTGGTAGGAAGAGTAGAGGATTCCAGTATTATCTGGGGTCGGGGTAGGCTTCCCTGAAGAGATGGGTTTTCAGAGCGCACCTAAAAGTGAGCAGAGTAGGCGGAGTTCCAGAGGATGGGTGAAGCCCTTGAGAAATCCTGGAGACGGGCATGGGAGGAGGAGACAAGGGAGCTAGAGAGTAGGAGGTCTTGCGAGGAGCGGAGAGTATGGTTTGGGTGGTATTTAGAGACAAGGTCGGTGATGTAATTAGGGGCAGTGTTATGAACAGCTTTGTATGTCAGTGTTAGTGTTTTGAATTTTATCCATTGGGCAATTGGAAGCCAGTGGAGGGATTGGCAGAGTGGGGTGGCAGATACAGAATGGTTAGTAAGGTGGATGAGTCTGGCAGCAGCATTCAAGATAGATTGAAGAGGGGATAGCCTGCGATGAGGTAGGCCAATGAGGTGGGAGTTAAAGTAGTCAAGGCGAGATATAATAAGGTAGTGAATAAGTTGCTTAGTGGTTTCCGAGGTTAGGAACGGTCGTATCTTGGAGATGTTGCGGAGGTGAAGTCTACATGAGTTTGTCAGCGATTGGACCTGGGGCTGAAAGGACAGATTGGAGTCTAGGATTACACCTAGTACCATGGTGTGAGGGGTGGGACTGATGATAGTGTTGTTGATCTTGATGGAGAATTCGGGGGGGGGCATGGGCTGGGTGGAATACTAGGAGCTCAGTTTTGGAAAGATTGAGTTTGAGGAAGTGGAGTGACATCCAGTCCGATATGTCCCTTAGTAGGCTGGTGATGCGATTAGAGACTGAGGGGGTGAGGTGAGGGGTAGAGAGATAGATTTGTGTGTCGTCGGCATAGAGATGGTAGTTGAAGCCGTGGGAGTTTATCAATTGGCCAAGGGAGGAGGTGTAGATGGAGAAGAGGAGGGGTCCAAGGACAGAACCTTGAGGGACCCCTACAGAGAGAGGGAGTGAAGAGGAGGAGGCAGCGTTATAGGTAACACTAAAGGAGCTCTGCGATAGATAGGAGGGGAACCAGGAGAGAGCGGAGTCTCTGAGGCCAAGAGAGTGCAGTTTTTTGAGGAGGGGGTGATCAACCGTATCAAAAGCCGTAGAGAGGTCAAGTAGTAGGAGTATAGTATAGTGGCCATTTGTTTTGGCGGTTAGTAGGTCATTGGTGAGTTTGAGTAGGGCAGTTTCGGTGGAGTGTAGGGGGCGGAAGCCGAACTGTAGGGGGTCGAGAAGGTTGTTGTCGGTGAGATGGGAGCTCAGGCGATTGTAGACTAAGCGTTCTAGGAGTTTAGAGGTAAATGGCAGTAGGGAGATGGGTCTTAAGTTGTTCAGGTCAGTGGGGTCCAGGGAGGGTTTCTTAAGTATGGGAGTGATGTGCGCGTGCTTTAGAGGGGAGGGGAAGGTACCGGTGGAGAGGGAAAGATTGAAGATGTGAGTAAAGGAGCATATGATGGAAGAGGAGGGGGACTGCAGGAGTTGTGAGGAGACAGGGTCCAGGGGGCAGGTGGTGAGGCGGGCTTCGGAGAAAATCTTAGTGACCTCTTCGGTGGTAGTGAGGTCAAGGGAGCAAAGTGTTGAGGGGGTTATTGTGTGCTAATGCTTTCCTTTCTGTACCCTATTTCATAGTTACATAGTTAGTCTGGCTGAAAAAAGACAAAAGTGCATCCAGTTCATCCATTAAAAAAAAATTATAATCCTACACCCACAGTTGATCCAGAGGAAGGAAAAAAAACCCAGCAAAGCATGATCCAATTTGCTCCTGCAGGGAACAAAATTCCTTTCCTGATCCCCCGAGAGGTAATCGGATATTCCCTGGATCAACTATATGTGTTCTATATAGTTTGCTATTTAGCTTCATATGCTCAGGTTTGGTAAAGAAGACTAAAGAGGAATGATGGTGCTATAACCAGGGGCGGACTGACCATTTGGAAACTCGGGCACTGCCCAAGGGCCCGGGGTCAGTAGGGGGCCCCATGAGATGCCCCTGGTATCTTTTTCATAGGCTTTTTTGAGTTTGGGCAAGGACACAGGGGCCCCATGATCCCCTATTGCCCGGCGGGCCCCATGAATTGTAAGTCCGCCCCTGGCTATATCCCTAATCTATCAATCAAAAAACATCTCCTAAAATGTATCTAAACCTTTTTAACACCCTTTTGTCTATGTATAATAAAATCAGGAGACTGTAAACAGTTGGAGACAGATCAGTTTGTAAAATTATTGTACAATACCTTTTTTACAGCTTTTTATACACCATCCTTCCTTGCCCCGAACCACACTGTGAGATATATGGGTGTAGCATGCAAGCAACCTATGATGCTACCTGTAGAAGTCACAGCCAATGTTTGCCTACTTACTCCATTGCTGCACAAGCAAATTGGCACTGTCATGTAATGATATTACGTTAAAAAACACTATTTTATTTTTAATTAGCCACTTGCCCTCCAGAGGATTTACCCCCCCCCTTCCTGACCAGGCTATTTTTTGCATTACAGTGTTGCGTTACTTTAACTGACAATTGTGGTCATGCAACGCTGCACCCAAATGAAATTTACATCCTTTTTTCCCCACAAATTGAGTTTTCTTTCAGTGGTATTTGATTGCCTGTGCATTATTTATTTTTTGCACTCTAAACAAAAACTGACCGACAATTTTGAGAAAAAAACTATATTTTTGACTTTTTGCTATAATACATGTTCAGTAAAAAAATTAAAAAAATCAAATCTCATCATAAATTTAGGGCAAAATGTATTCTGCTACATGTCTTTGCTAAAAAAAATTCCAATATGCGTA